ATAAAATAAAGGAGGGGTATCATGAATAAAAGAGGGGAAAACATGAAGTGTTTTCCAAACCTGGTTGATTATGGAATCTCTTTTGTAGATCATTTCATGGTACTAAAGTTTGATGGAACATACTTTAGAATGCAATCTTCATTAGTTCTTTGTAAAATCAGGGAAAATGAATCTTACCCTCATCTATGAAAGGGTTCCCAAAGTGATCTGTGGCTTCTAGAGATATCTGTTTAAAAATTGTCCAAGTCTGTATATTAACCATTATAACTATGTGAGTTTTTCTCAAATATAGTCAGAGGGCTGACTACCTGTCTCAAAATTACAGGGGTGTTGACTAAGGAGGCAGGTGGCTAGGTCTTGCCCATGGACTACTAAATCAGAATCCAAAGGAATGGGACCCAGAAACTTGCATTTAATCAAGCACCTAAAATGATTCTTACTTACTCTTAAGTTTGAGAACTACTGCTCTCAGTCTTATCTACATTCACCTTGAGTGCCACTGTATTATTTTTCTATTGCTATAGAACAATTATATCAAATATAGTGACTTAAAACAAGTTGGCATTAGCCAGGCACAGTGGCACATTCTTATATTCGTTGCTACTCAGGAGACTGAGGCAAGAGAATCATATAACAAAATCATACAAAATTTAGTGGCTTAATACAATACTAACTTAGCCAGGCATGATGGTGCATATTTGTAATCCAATCTGGAAGCTAAGGCAGGAGGATCACAAGTTCAAGGCCACCCTGGACAAAGTAGCAAGACCCTGCCTTAAAATAAAATATAAGGGCTAGGGATGTAGTTCAATTATAGAGTACTTGCCTAACAGTTCAAGGCTCTGGATTCAATTCCCAGCACAGGGAAGGAAGGAAGGAAGGAAGGAAGATTGGTTTAATATCTTATAGTTTTGGGGGGTTAGGAATCTGAGCATGGTTTCAGGATTTCTCACAAGGCTACAAGCAATGTATTTTCCAAGGGAAGGATTTATATCTAGGCTTATGTGGTTATTGGTAGGATTCAGTTCCTTAAGAGCTATTGGGTCTCAGTTGCTTGTTAGCAGGCCAATTTTCATATCTTGCCACACAGACCTCTTAAAATCTTAGGTCAGCAAAGGAGATAGCATGCTAGCAAGATGGAAGTTAGAATCATATGTAATACAACCGTGAGAGTGACATCCCATCACCTCTGCTATGTTCTAGTGGTTTGAATCAAGTCCCATGTCCCATTCACACTTTAAGGGGGAAAATTACACAAAGGAATGATAGCAGAAGAGGATCATTGGGGACCATTCTGGAGTGCTTGTTTAAGAGTCAGTGGATGACTGGAGGGCTATGAGTCACTAAGAAGCAGCCCAGGTGATCAACCCAGCATTCCAGTGAGTTTTAGGATGGTACTGATTTCCATTATTCTGGTCACAAGCTGGAGTTCAATGTTCTAACTTAGGACAAAAAAAAATAGCTGAGAATCCAGAGGACACTATAAATTTGTGACAGTCCCACAAAGAAAGAAAAGAGATCACATTTTGTTCAAAAGAGCTTCCTTGTGTTTTACTCAAAAATTTTTGTTCTTTGAAAATTAACAGTTCTCTGTGATATGGTAACTTTTAATTATCTGAGTTGGTTAAAGAAAAGCTCAGTTCCCTGGCCACTTTAATGGATCAGAATTCATTGCTCCTGGTTTTACAAAATTACAATGATGTAACTAATCATTTACTTTATTTTATATAGTATGTGAACCTATTGTCCATATTTAAGAAAAATAACAGCCAAATTAATACTTAAAGCAAGGTTTTGTAGCTTTTATTCATGGGCTATAACAACTAATTTTTTTGGGGGGGATTATCTGTTCTTTTTTTTTTAAATTTTATTATTCATATGTGCATACAAGGCTTGGGTCATTTCTCCACCCTGCCCCCACCCCCTCCCTTACCACCCACTCCGCCCCCTCCCTCTCTCCCCCACCCCCTCAATACCCAGCAGAAACTATTTTGCCCTTATTTCTAATTTTGTTGTAGAGAGAGTATAAGCCATAATAGGAAGGAACAAGGGTTTTTGCTGGTTGAGATAAGGATAGCTATACAGGGCATTGACTCACATTGATTTCCTGTGCGTATGTGTTACCTTCTAGGTTAATTCTTTTTGATCTCACCTTTTCTCTAGTTCCTGGTCCCCTTTTCCTATTGGCCTCAGTTGCTTTTAAGGTGTCTGCTTTAGTTTCTCTGCGTATAACAACTAATTTATACCTTAGAATTTATCTGCATTTAACAGATTCTCTCAAAGATTAGGATGACTCAATTACCATTTTTTGGAAATATGTTATGGACCACTTTATAATATTGTCTTATTTCTTTATGTTTGTATGTCTTCAGTTTCATTTTCTATTCTACTTATATTGATCTACATAGTAGAATACGGTATGTTCTGCCTCTTTAAAAATGGATTTGTGAAAACTTTACCACTTTTAATCCTTGTTATGCATGAAGAAATGTTATAGAGAGAGAAATCTATAAAATTCATGAAGTAAATTCAATAAATAAATGTAACCCAATAAAGGACTACTTGTTGTGAAATTAAATTTTCCCATTTTCCAGATGAACAAATTCAGGGTCAGTGAAGAGACGATTTGTCCATAATCACACAGGTAGGATAATTGAGCTAAGACCCAAATCAATATATGCCCTCTTTCTTTAGGCCCATGGTTATTTGGGGAAAGATGCAGAAATAGAAAAGGGGCTTATAATCCAGGTGTGGTCAATAAATATGAAATTCTGCAGGAAATAAAATCATAGGTTAGAAAATGTATCTAATGACATTCTCAGTATTAGCAATCATTCTTAAAGACATAAAACATGGTTTAATAGAAAGTAAACATATACTTTTTTAAAAGTTTCTACTATATTGAGTAATCAACTATCTACATTTATGAAAGGGCTAATTATAGTTGAAAATTATAACTTCCAAATCCCAAAAGGATGTCTCTTGCTAGCTGCTATAACAAAGTGCCGAGAACTGAGTATCCTAACCAACAAAAAATCATTCTCTCATAGTTTTAGAGGATTGAAGCCTAGCTCAAGTATTCAGGATTGGTTTTGTCTGAAGGCTATCAGGGAGGATCCATTCCATGCCTGTCTCATAACTCCTGGTGGCTTGCTGGCAATCTTTTTGGCACTGTTTGACTTCTGCAACAATGGTCTCTGCTTTCATCTTCACATGGCATTCTCTCTATCCAAATGCCTCCCTGTATAAGAACACCAGTTATATTAATTAAGTGCTCATTGTACTTCAGTATCACTTCATCTTAACTAATTATATCTGCAACAATCCCATCTCCAAACTTAGTCACATTTTGAAGAACTGGAGGTTAGGATTTCAACATATGAGTTTTATGGCGGATACAATTTAACCCATGACATATATAGACACATTCTAGAAAGAGTACTGATCATGGGACAGAGGAAAATTAGTATCAACTTTTAAACAAGTTCAGTTTTGTTAAATCTGATGTTTAGTGCTTACTGTATTAAATCAAATACACTCACTCACTTATCAAGCACCTGCTTGCTGTGTGCCATGTACTGTGCAGATCTGGAACAAACAGTAGTAAACGTTTCTCCAGCTGTCTCTGTCCCCTATGTACCACCAGGTATAACTGGTAACTCCACCAGATGCCACCCCTCTCCTTAGAAATATCTACCAAGTTTCAGCATGGCTGAGCTACATCACGCTGTGTCGTGTTTTGCAGCAACATAGGGCATGCTTGTGTCAGGCTTTCTCTCTTTTCTATGTTGTACACTGGTAGAGAGATGCCAGAGGACTGACAGCTCTTTGCAGTGTTCTTTTTCACCTCCCAGATTTCATATGAGGATATGCTCAAGCATCTAAAAACAAAAGCAGTGCTACACGCAGGACCAGATCTCTTTGGTTGACTAGGGCTTCAGTCCTGAGCCTTGCTCACCTGACCATCTCTGTCTTTCAACAAGTCCTCTATGCTTCCCTTAGACTCTGCTCAGGCCACTGCCCATGTACCCAAGCATGTTCAGTAGAGGACACAGGTGGAACTTAATTTATGAGCTTTGTTTTCACTGAAAAAGCATTTTATGCCCTTAGAATGTCATGCTGCTTTTTCTTGATGTTTGCGTCATTTTGGTTATGAATGTCCTCTAATGTTAAGAGGCTATCAAACAATCATTAAAGTTGAGAGAAAGGAAGTTAGGTGATCCTTTAATATCATGAAGGGTAACATTGTCCATTGGTTTCTTGTCTTATTCTTTACTTACTATACAAACAACCCATGGATATTATTTACACCTACCTCCTCTTCTAGCCAAATATTACATCATTTACTTAATCTGCATAAGAAGCAATACATGGGTTTTATCAGTAAAAGTATACTAAGCAAAACAAATATTTTATATTTTATAAAGAATATAGGTTATAAAATATGAAATAATGAGTTTTAGAAAACTTTCTCTAAAGAATTGTAGTTAAATAGTCCATGAACCAGAATTAGCAGAGCATTTGGGTTGAATCTTGATTTCTCTGACCAGTTTTTAACAGATATGCTTATTGCAGTGATTCAAAAGAACATGAATATTATAATTTTTAAAAGGTTTGTTCTCATTTTACTATCAACAATATTAATGATTCTTTACAGCCCAGAAACAAGTAAGTAACATTGTTTCATGAAAAGATATTTCTTCACTTTCAAAAAAATCTGAACGTAGTTTATTAAAAAACCTAAAAACCATCCTAGTACCAAAGATGAAATAGTCTTGGGACAGAGTCACAAAGCTCTGGGGAACTCTCCAGGGTTCTGCTCCCCCTGGACAGCGATGTCATAATGTCCTACTTACACTTAGAACCTGCTGAGCCACAGGAAGGAAACCCCAAGAGAACTTAGATTACTGGATAAATCACACTAATTTCAAATGAATTTTATGTTGCTTATTTTTATATCTGGGATATTCCTCCCAGAGATTAGGAATTTTAAGTCTAACATGGAAGGTGAGTGAATATTTAAAATTTCATAGAAACAGTAGATAAGAAGGATGACCCTTAATCATGGAAAACTGGTTTGTAGCAATTTTCTACAGGGTGATAGAAAGTTTGTTGGAGATGTGGTATAATTAGAGTTTACATCTCTGTCTCAAATTGTGAAAAACTGAAGTGAGAAAAAGCAGTAAAGAAAATAAAATTTCTGATCCACCATGTGTCATGGTTTTTTCAGACTTCCCTGATATGACGTCTTTAGATGAAGATCAGTATTATAAAGAAGAAGATGAACACACAGCTACCCATCCTACTACACATGAGGAAGAAAAGAATATGGATAGTTCAGATATACATAAAGAAGGAGAAAACTATATAGAAAATACTCCTGCTAACGAGAAAACCGGCAATTATTATAAAGATATAAAACAATGTAAGTTTTTAAAGTTAATAACAATATGTAAGAAGCTGACACAGCAAGCTAAATGTACTAGTTGGTTTGATTTATCTTAATTCTCCTTTATAGACTCCCACAATCATTTTATTTCCTACTTTTTACATTCTAATTTACCTTTAAATTGTGTAGGATGAAATCCTTATTTCCTACAATTTTTTTCACAAGATGTTATGAAGTTTAACAAGGTTTTCTTGGTAATTATTTCTAACTACCATGGTTGATGATGGCTTTGTGAGTATTTATTTACACTAGTTAAATTGGCCTTAATTTGATGGTGAGTTAACCAAAATTTCTTAAGGCTGCTGAGATAACGTACCACAAACCAGATGGCTTGAAACAACAGCAGTCTAGTTCCTTACCATTCTAGAGGCTGAAAGTCCAAAATCAAAAGTTTTAGCCGGTCACATAAATGTTCTCTCCAAAACCACTAGGGGAGGATCTTTCCTTGCCTCTTCCAGCTCCTGGCTTGTGGCATCATCACTTTGTTTCAATTTCTGCCTCACCCTCTTCACGTGGCATTTTCCTGGTTTTGTGTCCAGATTGGTTGTAAGGACATTAGTCATATCCAATTAAGAGCACACCCTACTACTCACTTCATCTTAATTACATCTTCAGCAACCCTATTTCCAGATAAGGTCACATTCTGACGTACTGGGAGTAAAGATTTCAATGTTAGATTTGTGTGTGTGATAGACGTAATTCAACCTATAAAAACGTGTCTTCTAGGTAACTGGAAGGTTCATTAAAATTTAGTTTGTAACTCATTATTTCTCATATGGACTTTCTTTCCATGTTCTTCCTCACAAGGTGTGCTAGTCTGAAAAGCGAAAAGTTCATAAGAAACTTTCACTAAAAAATAAAAATTACAGGAAAATAGCTCTATGGTAGAGTGCTTGCCTAGCATGCACAAATCCCCGGGTTTGATCCCCAGCACCACCAAAAGAAAGATCAAATTTAGCTATTCTGGGATCATTATTAACATTAATTAAATAAAGAAATAGAAAAACAACAAAGATATATGTATATACTCAAATGTTTTGAAAGCTATAATGCATAAGTTATACCTCTGGTTTTCTTTGAATCATCATCTCTCTGTTTTAGGAGAAAAAACATCCCCGATGCTCAGAAGGGTTTAATATTTAACAGGAAGGCAGAGGCAGGAGTGGTGTCTAACTGACCACTGGATGCCTCTACAGTGTACAAAATGATGACATAAAAATCATGTCAGTTTCAGGATGTACCTCTATTTTGAATTAAATGAGATCAATAAATCAAGTAGCCAGCAATTATTCTGTTTAAAAACTCTCTTAAGTTTTACATATAATACACACACATGTATATATAATAAATACACATAATGTACAGAGATCATATTAGGGCTTGATTTTCTAATTAAAAAATTCTAGAGCTGTTTTCACATTTACTTTATTATTTTCAATGGCTGCATAGTATTCCATAAAATGAAGTTAATTCATTTATGTATTATCTTGTTAGAGAACACTTATATTATGGGCAATTTTTCTGTACATTTTTCTCATGTACACAATTGGGTGTATCTCTCTCTGTCTAGATGCTAAGTACTGACATTGTTGAATAAAGGAGAAATCTTTTGAATATTAATACCACCAAATTGTCCTCCAAAACCTATTCACCAATTTATATCCCTCCAAGAATGCTTCATGTCCTCGCCCACAATGACTATCAACAATCATAATATTTTATGATTGTGATAAGTGAGAAACATATTTTCTTGCCTTTTTATTTGCATTATAATTGGTTGTGAAGTTGAGTGGTTTCCTTTGTACTTATTAGTTGTTTTTATTTCTACTTCTGTCACTTCCTGTTCATATTCTTTCCCATTTTCCTGTTGAACCACCTTTTCATTTAATTGCAAAATCTTTGAATATATGTTATGTTAATATTTTTCTGTAGTAATAGAATTAAGAATATTCTTCCAGGGTGTTGCTTATCTTTAAATCTGTGTACCTTCATTCACAGGGGAAATTTCAAGTTTCATAAAATCAATTCTGTTGACTAACTCCTTCATGATTTCTGCGTTTTGTGTCTTGCATACACAGGGGCTTATCCAATCCAGAATATTAAAGCACTTTCCTAATTTTTTATAATATTTTCCTATTTTTGTTTTAAATTCTTAGGTCTTAAATGTTATTTTTTTATGTATAGCACAAAGTCAGTATAAAAGATACGTTTCCAAGAAGATAGCCAGTTGCTTAACACTGATTCTTATATGATACACTTAATATAATCTAAATTCTCATATGAAACTGGGTCAGTTGTTACACTCTTTATTGTTCTTTTTTGATATATCTGTCCCTACAAAAATACCACTCTATTTTAATTTTTATATTTTCTTAACTCACAACATGGATATTGGGCTGTGATTTCCTTTTATTTTTCCATAGGGCTACCTCAGGAATTCCTCAAAAATGATAATACACTAATAGCACCATATTTGTGTTTGTGTGTATGCATAGAGAAAATGAATGCATATGTAAATATTAAGTGCATATTCATGTGTATATAAAATTTCTGTCATTCCTTAAGATTTTAGAGTGAAGAGACAGATGTGTATGTAAGTTCAGTCTGACATCTTGGCCCAATTTATTTGACTCCTTGGGTGGGTGAATATGTTCATTAGCTTTGAATGTGGCCAACCCCTCAGATGACTCTTAAGAGTCATTATGTGTATACATAAATGTGAGTACATGTGGGAGACCTCCATTGTCATTGAGTTATATGGTTTTTAAGTTGAAGTGTTCTATAGTCTAACAGTGCTTATCACTTGGTTTTTTTGATAATGTCAATACAAACACAATAATATTGCACATCTGCAAATCTATTTTGGCATTTTATACACTTGGATATTTTTTCATGATTTCCTCAATAATTGCTTTTCAGACTCATTTACTATAAGGATACTAATTAAGGCTGTTTTCTCCTCATGAATCTTCTGTTTGACCCTTGCCCTCTTTCTTATTTTGAAAATGAAAGACTCAACCGGTTTTTATAATTCTTTTGTTTTTAGTCAGTGGATATATATATGTATGTATGTATATATTAAAAATCATATGAGGAAAGTGTAATGGACAAGAATTGACTTAGAGAGTTGCTGAAGTGTTTTGATTTTACGTTTTCAGATGTGTTCACCACACAGAATTCAAATGGCACTGAGTCTGAGATATCTGTTAGAGCAACAACCGATCTGAAGTTTGCCCTAAAGAACTGTAAGTACCAAAAGTTACTGCTGCACACATGAAAGTCCTTAAGGCCAAATTTAAAACGTTAGGAGGGAGTGGTGTGTAGGAAAGAGTTAGTTTCTAAACAAGCCTGAAATTTCCCTCTAGATTCTACGATTCTGGACCCAGCTGATGAGGTTTTGTTCTCGTACTTCCTTCCACACTATACCCTTAAGGCTCCATGTCCTTCTCACTATTAATTTCACAAAGCAGGGTTGTCCTTACATTTCTAAGCCTCTTATTTTTTTGGTTTGCACAGAAAGAAAATTTAAATAACTAAATTGAGGATTCTAGGAAATTTTTCATCTTTCTTAAACCTGAATTTTTGTGCCTTAAACAGGAAAGCAAGAATGTTTTTGGCTATGGTAATATCAATATTGGGACAAGCCAAATCGTCAATGCTTAATTATTAATAAAGTTACTTGGCAATAATTGAGTATTTGGAGCCATTACAAACCTTGAAACAGTTTATATTTCTAGGGCAAACTAGTGAGATAATCCCTCATGGGAATCTTATTATATAAAGCAAACAACATCTTGAGTTGTATGGGACAAGGAACAGACAGCTAGATCTTAGGCAGATCGGGGACCTCAGATTCCCTTAACAATAGGGGCTACTGAGAACCCAGGAAGAGATTCTACTACCCTAACATCTATTCCCACAATTCAAGCTCTTAGAGGATTGTCAAAGAAAGTCAGACTGGGATAAGACATTCTTGCCATTGCTAACAGAGGCTCTGACAGAGGAGACCTGGGACATCCTAGAGCAGCAAGGCCCCAAGGAAATAGGAAAAGTCCAGGATAATTTTAACTAATGATCATTTGCTTAAGCACAGTCCCTAGAGTGGGAAGGTTGTATAGTGGATTTTAAGGATTATTTACCTTTTTTTGGTTTTTTGAGTCCTGCCTGAATCAATATCACCTCCAGTAATGGATGGAAAGAAATTTCTGTCATTTCTTGTCAGCAGGATGCCTTTAATGGCTTTGAGGGTCATTCTGCCTCCCTATCAACTCCTCTTATAATAGGAATGGTAGTCCATATAGAACATACTGACTCCTGTATTCAGGAGTTAACTAGTATAGACAGCTACATGAGGGAGAAATGGTCCTACAGTCACAATTTTTCCCAATATTCCCTAGTGACATACCACCCAGATGGACATATTAAAGACTGAGACATACACTAAATTATTCCCACAGTTCTGATAACCAAAACTCTGTTTTCAGTCTGCCTCCCTCTTTCATATCATTGCACTCACCAACAACCAAGCTGCTCCACATTGCAAGTATCATTTCAAAGTCTGTGCAGGGAATCTGCAGAAGTCAGTGATCTCAGTCAATGGGTCACCTTATCTCTAAATGAAGCCCATCACTTTTCTTCTCTTCCACAAATCATAGACATATTAATTCCACTTCACCAACCCATAATCACAAAAATTTTACTCACCAATGCTTCTTCATTGTAGGAAAATGCAAACGTCTTTCTCTTTCTCTTCCTGTTTTTAGTAGTAGTAGTAGTAGTATTTTATTTTTATTGTTGTGCTGGGTGGGGATACATTGTGGCATTTATAAAAGTTTTTACAACATATCAAATATATCATAGTTGAATTCACCCCCTCTATCATTCTGCTTTATTCCCTTTTTCCCCCATTCCTGAAGTAATTTCAACAGGTATCATTTTTCCATTTACATACATGTGTACACAGTATTTGCATTATATTCACCCTCCTACACCCTTTCTCCAATTCCTCCCCCTCCCACTGGTACCAAGCCCCCCAAGGCAGGACCTGTTCTGCCCTCCTGTTCTCCAATTTTGTAAAAGAAAGAAAAACAATGATATTTTTATTTGTTTAAGATAGCAACACAGGGAGTTTCCTTATGACATTTCCATATATATATGCATTATAACTCAAATTGGTTCATCTCTTCTATTTTTCTTCTTTCTACCCTAGTTTCTCTTTCATTTCTCTCTCCTGTCTTTGTTCCATTTTTAGCTTAAAATATGCCTAATTACAGTCAATATTTTTATATGCTGATAATACTTATCCCTTTTCCTAGATAAAATTGTCAATGCAACTCCACCTGAAAAACCTGCCGAAGAAGAAAGAACTACAGAACCCTATCATAAAACAGTGCAAAGTATTAAAATTACTACACTGTATTAATATCTGGAGCATATCATTATGTGATTTCTAAATTTAAGTTTCACTACTCTAAGCATTACATAAAGAAATAGCATGCTTAAATAATTTATACTGCTAAAAATTTAAAATTCACTCTAACATCTTTTAAAGCTAAGGGTCAATTCTCAGATGTACCTGACAATGGATAAGGAACAGAACTTTTCAGAATTTCTATTTTAATAAAATATATCACATTTATATTCATAACATGCATATGTATAAATGAACATATATTCACAAATATATAATATATTATATATATTTATAAATTAGATTATCTATAATCTAATTTATAAATATATAAAAAGCATTTACAAATATAAATTTATGTTTGCATAAATGTTTATATTTATACAAATATAAATATATTGAGTATATGTTTAATATAATTTATTTTGATAATATTGAAAATTTTCTATGTACTAGAAGAATCAATATCTCTAGTTACAATGATTAATGTTTCCTAATATGGAGGGAGGGAGTTGGGAGTAGGAGGTTACAAAATGAAAATCACCATTTAGTTTCCTGCCAAGAATATCATTCCTTATAAAATATCTGTGAAGTCATAACAACCCTGGATGGCTCTACTCTAAGGTCTTAAATGGCAGGTCTGATTGAAGACAATGGATTCTTATCTGTCATTCCTGTTGTTGTTTTCTTTTTTTAAACAGAAACAACCCCAAATGTGCCTGCATTTTGGACAATGTTAGCTAAAGGTAAATTCATATGTTAGGTAGCTGGGGAAATGTTTTGGTTTTCTACCATCTTATGTAAGAAAGCCAAGATTTGTCTAAATACTTCTGATATTAAGAATCAGTAGGTCAGTTTTTGTACAAACCCAGAGTTGATAAAGTCACACTATTTCTGATCACCACCACCACAAGGTTTTATTCTCATACAAATGTTGAGATCTAGAAAAGACATTTACTATTTAGGGGAGTCATGGTTTCTGAATATTCTCCAGTCAATATTTTGCTGATGACTAGTATCATCTTCCTTTTCTATAGTTTCTATTCCTGAAACATTCAAACCAAATTTAAAAATCATTCACTTTAGTCTATGATTAAAAATTTTAAATAAGATTCTTGCCCAACTTAGTCCCTTTTGTGTTTGGAACAGTGTGCATATAAACACAAAGACATACTTCCATAAATTCAAAGTATATATATCAAAATATATGCATGCATAAAATTAATGTGTAAGTCATAAATATATAAGCATGCTTGTATAATACAGAATACACACTAACCAATTCAACATTTACATATAAATTATGTGCATATAGGTATATATGTAATGCATATATAGCATATATATATGCCTTATAAATGTGAAATGCATACCATATTCAGTCAATCCTCATTATTTGCATAGGTTATATTTGTATTCTGTATCACCTACTCACTAAGGTGTCTTTATTACTCAAAGATCAGTACTTGCAGCATCTGCCAGGTCATCTGTGGACATCATCAGGGCTTCAACATTTCTAATTGTCTGACACATATAATCATTCATATCTTGAGCCGCCCCAAAGTGTAGTGTGAAATTACTGGTTAATATTCCTAAATGGAAGAAGGCTGCCATGTGTCTTATGGAGAAAATATGTTTGTTAAACTTTGTTCAGACATTAATTATACTGATGTTTACAATATAGAGCATAACAACCATGAATAATGAGAACAGGCTGCACATATTATACATACACACATATACATACAATAACTTTACCCAGTCAATATTGTTTACCATAACACAAATTTGTTGTCTTAACAGCTATAAGTGGAACAACGGTGAGCATGGACGATAAAGATCAATTATTGCAACCAATTCCAAGTAAGAACAAAGTGCTTCAATTAATAGACACATAAATATCACATACACTTTAGTATCTATCTGCATGGCAATGCTATTTACCCTAGCAAAGTGTAGTGTATGTAGCAGGGTATCATGGTGGCTAACAGCACACCAAAAGGGACATACACTGTTTTAGGAGAGCTACAGTTCTTGATTACTCTCTAGTTACCTTTTTCCTGGTAACTATTACCATCTTCCATTTTATAGCTTCTAATCTTGAAAGAGAAAACCCAAATAGAGGAGTGGGTGAATGAATCATATAGTTTTAGGTTTAAAGGAAAATTTAGCCAAAAGTATAGAGTTCCCATATCCCATCCCCTTCCAACTCCCCCGTTATTAACATTGGCGTGGCAAATTTGTTAAAGTTTCTGGACCTGTATTGGTACATTACCACTGACTAACATCTATATTTGACATTAGGGTTCACTGTTTGTATTGTACAGCTTTGTGGGTTTTGACAAATGCATAATGTTATATATCAACCATCATAGTATCATACAAAAGTTTCACTGCCTAAAGTCTTGTCTACTCCTGCCAATTTATCCCTTCATTCCTCTCTGCCTCTGAAACTCTGGCAACCACTGATCTTTTTACTACCTCTATAGTTTTTCCTTTTCCAGAATGTCATATAATTGAAATCATACAAGTATGTGGCTTTTTTCTTTCATCTAGCAGTATGCATCTAAAATTCCTCCATGTCTTTCTTATGGCTTGATAACTCATTTCTTTCTATCACTAACATTCAATTGTATGGATGTGTCCCAGTTTACTCACCTTGCCAAGGATATCTTGCTTGTTTCCAGTTTTTGACAATTATGAATATGAATTATGAATAAAGCTGTTATAAACATTTGTGTGCAGGTTTTTGTGTGGACAAGGTTTCAACTCACTTGAGTAAATACCTAGGAGTGCAATTACTAGATCTTATGGTAAGAGTGTTTAGCTTTTTATTCCCAAGAAGCTCTACTGTTTTGTATTCATACCAATAATGAATGTGAATTTCTGCTGCTGAATACAGTTTTCATTAAAGGATTAATTGCATTTATAAAAAGAACTCACTTGAACAGAAAATTGCATGAAAAGGCAAGAGTTGACTTCCCCCTGTACTACAAATAAATGATCAAAAAGAATCTTAGATATATCTAATTATATATCTAAGATCTGTCAGTTCAGTTCAGCACTGAATTATTTGATGACAAGTGTAGCCATTTGCCTTGTGGTGCTTCAAGAAAATGAAGTGAGTCTTTGTTTATAAAAAATATACATTTTAGAAATATTTTGTCATTTTTCTAATGTTTGAGCAACTAAATTGGCTTGATTGATTTTCTATCATTTATTGAGTACATACTACATACCAGGTATTCTGGGGCTGTAACTACATTGTTATGCTAGATCTTACAGTAACTCCACAGAGGTGGTATCATCTGCATTTTACAGATAAAGAAATTGAGTGCTGAGCAAAAATCTGCCCAAGCCTGTCGTTAGATTTTCTGTAACTCCCAGTCATGAGGAATTTCAAGCTCTTCTCTGATTCTGACCATGACCTTGATTTTTTTTGTTTGATTTTATTTTTTTTTTCATTTATTGTTGTGCTGGGTGGGGGTACCTTGTGGTATTCACAAAAGTTCTTACAATGTATCAAATATATTATACTTGAATTTGATTTAAAAGACCCTTTCAAGAGATAGAACAGCAATTCAGGAGGATACTCCATTTTAACATAATTTGCTTAATTATTCCCAAAGTCATTGGTTTCAAAGCCAGTTAATAGTCATCAACAATTCTACACATTTCATTTCACTTGATCTAAGACCATACTTTAACAATTACAATATTTTAGAAGTCAGAGAACACAGGCATAGGAATTTGTCATTTCTTGTTACCTAAATATTGCCTAGAAAATAGAGAAGACCCTTGGAACATTTGGGGTCAAGGTGGGGGAACTGTGAGAAAGAGAAGAAATGACAACATGGTCATCTAAAGTCATCATTACATAAGTCTTACTAAGTCAGATCCATATTCAGGAAAATATAAAATCTGGCAGTAAAAAGGCATTTTTCTTAAGTAGATTTGATGATAAGATTCTTGACATTTCTGAATCCAGAGATTTAATTTCAGAAAGTTAAAAAAAGTTGTTTCCATTTCTTTTAGTAATGTCAAGTACACTAGGTTTGATCTTCTCTAATAAAATGACAAACTTAGCTCTTAAGTCTTGTGGAGAAAGCCTTTAATACAGCATCCTTTCAGCTTAAAAGCAAAGTCAGTGTGTGCCCCAACAACGGAACACGTGCCTTTCTCTCCTGTAAGATAATCATTTTCAGGTAACTTCTTTAGAGATGTTAGATTACTTAAACTGGTTTCTAGTAATGTTGGGAAAAAGTCTGCTACATATTTTGTCATCTGGTAACCTGAATTTTCTAACTATGAATCATGGGAAGAAATGGAGCTAAGGACAGCTCCTCCCAAACAGCTGTGAAAGTTAAAGAGAACAGTAGAGTCCTGGGCCAGAAGAAGTCACCTCCTCCTTTGCAATGCCTAGGATAAGGGAATGTGAACAGTGAACATTTGCTTTGTAATCCTCACTCCTCCAGGAGAACGGACACAACACGCTGCTTTCCATTGCATTTTCTTTCTCTCCTCTTAGGCTCTGATCTGAATGCTACCAATGAAGACAAACTGTCAGAGCTAGAGGAAATCAAGCTCAAACTGATGCTAGGCATCTCGCTGATGACACTCGTCATCCTAATCCCCCTCCTGATATTCTGTTTTGCCGCACTGTGCAAACTGAGTCAAATGAGGTAAGTCTGCACACTCTGTAGCTTTTAAAACTAAATCATAATGTCAAGCTTTCTCATCTTTAGTAGCTTGTTAGGAAAATGTAACCCCCTGAATAATTTGTGACCCCCTAAATAATGGATCTATAAAGTATTCAGTGGGAATCAATTTCATCTACTCAAAATAAGCCTGGGGCTATCTCTCAGGGAATATCTTACTTGAACTTTCTCTCAGTATTTTAAATACTCATTTAGATACAGAAATAATCACAGTAAATCACAGATACAGAAATAATCAGAAAAATCTACATTTTTTTTTTGCTGTTTATAGCCTTGGAACAAAAAACCCTATAGGTTCTCTTCTAAATAGCACATCTGCTTAGGGTCTAACATTTTTTCATTTATGCTAGACTTGCCTGAGACTTTCAAAAATTACCAAATCTCTTTTGTCACATTTATACCTTGAGGCCTATCCATTTGTTCTTCTTGTTATAGTGCAATATATTGATTGATTTTGAAGCATTTGTACTCTGGAGAAAAGGATGCAAATGATGTTCTTCTGCCAGCAGAGAGTTACTTGCATGAAATATGTAACTTCACTGTCATGAACTGAAACTCAGCAAGATTCGCACCTACTTCATGCTACCCAAATTGGTTTTTGGTAGAATTTTGAATACTTTTGCAATTGCATCATTATGTTAAATAATTAAGCATTAAAAAAAAATAACCTGTGATCTGGGGTTTTTAGTTCCTCTAATTCAACTTCATTTTGCATGTATCATGCCTTTATTAGCAACCTTTATTGTTTTAGTAAATTGGTTTCTAAATTCTAGTCTTGAATGCTTCATTCACGTGAATATTAAATATAATTATAATGAAAGAAAAACTATATCGTTGATATAATGCTATTAAGTAACGGACACATTAGAGAGAATTCACTCCTATTTTAGTTTTTATGAATACTTTTCTAAGTTGGATTACAAATGGACACAAAAACAATTCTTGATCTATGTTCTTTTCTTTTTCAGTAAGAAAAATTCTGAGAGTCAGTACTCCGTAAACCCAGAGCTGGCAACTCTATCTTACTTCCATCCATCAGAAGGCGTGTCAGATACATCTTTTTCTAAAAGTGCAGACAGCAGCACATTTTGGGGCACCAGTTCTTCAGATTTGAGAAAACCAGGCCCAAACCCCAAATCTAGAAATATGATGGAAATGTCAGCAGACTCAGATGATATAGGCTTACTTGAGGAGTCATACTTACTAAACAGTGAGGAAGTCAACACTGATGAATAGATAACTTTAATTCTTTGGTCATAAAAAGAAAAGGTCTTTGTGTCTCACATTAATGTAATTTTGAAACAGCTGAGACGTTTAAACTTTCTGGTGTCTTAAGAGAAGGACGTATTCAATAAAAATGATCTCAGTTATTATCAGTTATAAGAATTATTCAAAAGAAAATGTATAAGGAAATCATTGAAGGTGAGGGAAACTCATTAAGTGAAAGCAATTCTGGAGAGTGACCTGTAAAAAGTATTCACTTCTGGAGAAGTAGCTCAGTGTAGAGTGCTTGCCAACCATGCCCCAGACCCTATGTTGATCACCTGCACACAAAAAATAATAAAATAAAATAAAAATACAAAAGATATTTATAGTAAGTGGTTCATTTTTACATGAGAACATTTAAATATGTATTTTTCCAGGGGCATTTTGAGGATTTAAAGAACAGCACTACATATTCCTGGTCACTACCATCACTACCAAAAGCAAAAAACACACCTGGCTCAAACAGTTGTGTCATCAAGAAGATAAAAACAGGTTGGACCCAAATGCTCAAGCCTGTAATCCTAGATACTTAGGAGGCAAAGATCAGAAAGATCACAGGTCAAGGTCAGCTTGGGCCTTGAACCTGATCTCAACCAATAAAAGCTGGATATGGTAGTGTGTGCCTGTCATCCCAGCTACACAGGAAACCTAAATAGGATCATGGTCCAGCCTCACCTAGGCATAAAGCAAGAGCTTATCTTGAAAATAACCAAAGGAAAAAGGGCTGTGGCTCAAGTGGTAGAGTGCTTGCTTAGCAAGGTGGAGGCCCTGATTTCAATCCCCAGTACCACCAAAACACAGAAAGAAAGGGAGAGGGGCAACAAAAGGGAAAGGGGAGGGAGGAGAGAGAGAGAGAGAGAGAGAAGAAAGAACCAAATTAGTGGTAGAAGCTGTCAGCATTCTTGAATTTTTCAAAGTCATGGTGTTGCTGTCACAGGACAAACATGGTGTCCCAGAAGAAGACAAAGACAACAAATGAAACAGGGATAATGTCTCACTAGGTGGAAGGACTCTAGGGTATGTAGATCTGTGTGGATTTCGGAGGAGGACAGCAGGCTCCTCTGCTCTCATCTCTCACTATAACTTCCTTCTGCTGAGTGCCTATTTTATGCCTAGAACTTTACGTCACTCTGAATTTTACTATCCTAGGAAAGGTGAGCTTTACAAACCAAGGGATGGAAACTCAGGTAAATCAGGTACCTTACCTAAGATCACCTGCTTGAGAGATGCAAAACTACAACATGCTTCTAAACTGAGGTTCTCTCCTTGATCCATGAAAGGGAATAGTAAATCTTACAACAAGAGACAAGGGATGTTAGGAGCAAAGGTAGGCCACCTATCCAGGGGGCATAAGGTTCCTTAACTGGGGGGGTTCTTTCAGCTAATGGGAAGTTGTTTCCCCTGCCTTTTGCTTAGGTCTCTCTGTTCCTTCTTTTCCATAGAAAGGACACTACTCTCACCTGCCACTTACCTTATTATCTGCCTTGTTTCTCTGTTTTCTCCTCAGATTCCAGCCTGTCTCACTCATCACTGATTGAGAAAATGCTCTGTTATTGAGTAGTGATGAACTAAATAAAACTCTACCTTTGAGGGAACCAGTGTTCCCTTTACCTGTTCTCTGCCAATAGTGGGCAGTTTCAAAGCCAATGGGAGTGACCTTGTGGAGAGCCCTGTACCCTCTGCTAGTTACTTTCACCACTTAACCATGCCATTTTGGGGATTAGTACTAACTTTGTACTGCCATTTCAGGCACCTGAAGTTATAGTGGGGACTGAGTGAGACAGGTGTTATAGCTGCTTGGAAGTGGTGCAATGGAAGGTCATGTTGAGCATGGCTGAGGGGACTTGTGGGGAGGACATCAGGTGGGCTTAGGGAGGGATGACTACTGACTTTTCCCTCCATCTGACCTTGAGAGGTAGCAAGAATTTTCTTGATTGGAAATAGGCATAAGGGTCACTTTTAAGTCACATAACTTGTTTCTAGCTCTAAAGAAAAGTATCCCTCTGGCTAACATATCTAAAATGCCCAAAAGAGACTATTAACAATATTTATTTTGAGGTATTGGGGTTTGAACTCAGGGCCTACACGTGAGCCACTCTACCAGTCTTCTTTTTTTTCCTGTGGGTTTTTCAAGATAGGGACTCACGAACTATTTGCCGGGGCTGGCTTCAAACCGCGAGCCTCTGCTGTCTGCTTTCTGAGTAGCTAGGATTACAGGTGTGCACCACTGGTGCCCGGCTCTTAACAATATTTAACAATATTTTTTAGATCTGGCTTCTCATCCCCAGACACTTGACACACCTTGTAGATAACACTGTACAGGCACTCAAGGTATTTTGAGGGAGCCACGCTGGGGTACACGGGGCGGGGTGGGGGGTAGGGGGGAGGGGGTTCCATCTTGCCTTCTCTCTACGTCCTAGTGAGAAGGTCATACTGCCCGATGGGAAAAGTCTTCTCATTTGTCGACTGCTGCCCCACCCCCACCCCAATGCCATAGCTAACTCTGCTGCATTTCCTGAACAGGCTTGTAGGACCTCTGACCTGCTTTACCTTAAGACCATATTAAACTAGCTCTTCCTTGGCCTATGCACTTCTCCCAGTTCTAAATCGCCCACGTATTTCCTTCCCCAGCCCTCAAAGAGGAACTTTACTTCTACATCCCTACAGTTGCCTTTTGCCACAGTGTGTGTGTGTGCATCTATGTAAGGCACCTAGGATCAGTTCCTGTACATTGGCTGTGACAGGTGAGGAAACAGAGTCCCCCAGAGTAAGTCTCTCCAGGACTCCACATGCTTAAGTGCTGGCTCTAGGTCCATTTCCTTTGTCCATCGGAAGATATGTCTATCAGTGGGGACACTGGGGAATGGGGGAGTTCCTTTTTGGGCATTTTTCACTGACCTTTTGGGTCCAGGTTGGCGAGGAGCAGGTCCAGTGCTGTTCAGGAAGCTGGCTGGTGCAGACTGGAAGGCTGGGAGGCCAGTCTGGTCCCCAGGGTCACTCGGATCCCAGGCAGGGCCAAGGTCACCAGGCAGAGTCAAGGTCACTAGGCGGGGGGGGGGGGGGGGGGGGGGGGGGGGGGGGGGGGGGGGGGGGGATTGCTTATTGCATAAAGTGAAACCGTGTTGTATCAAAATGTGCAGTTTTTTAGTATCATATTATTGTTGTATTGGGGGTACATTGTGACGTTTACAAAAGTTCTTGCAATGAATCTTAGTTAAATTCGCCCCAGCCAACATTCTCCTTTATCTCTCCCACCACCCTAATTGCTGGAATAGTTTCAACATGTCTCATTTTTCCCTTTACATACATGAGTACATAATATTTCCACTATATTCACCCTCATAACCCTTTCTTTATATCCTCTCCTCTCCCACTGGTACCAACCCCCAGACAGGACCATTTTTATCTTATCTTTCTGCTCTGCATTTTTGAGAAAAGGCATTTTTGTTTGTTTAAGAAAGCTATGCAGGTAGTTTCATTGTGACATATCCATGTATATATGTATTATAACCCAAATTGGTTCATCCCCTCTATTTTTGTCTTTTCTACCTTAGTCCCCTTCTTATGGTGATCTTAACATGTTTAAAAATTTTATATGAATTCAGAGTTTTAAAGAAGCATAACTGGATAACATCTCAGATCTGAAATCTCTTGTTTTGGAGAAGGGAGAGTTACCCCATTATTGTATAGGGAAGTGTATCTTTGAAAGACAGAAGAGTATATGATTCTCTCACTGAAAATTCAGGAAGAGCCACCAGGCAGTAGTGGACAGCCATGACTTGAAGCCTTATATCTTGTCACTGTCCTAGGTTTTCACAGGAGTGTGAATTTAGCTATTCTGGAGTTTTGCTTGTTGATTCGTTTATTTTTATAGTTGTTGGGAGTGGTGTTTTATTTTGTGTTTGAAGTATTCTATAGCCATGGGGCCTTGGTGAGAAGGTTGAGATGCATTAAGTGAAGGAAAGACTGTTATATTAAATATCTGTTTCTTGTGAACACAGGACATATATTGGTGTATGAGACTACATACAGTTCCATATGTCAGTCAACTAGTTGAACTGTTCCAAATCACCACTAGTTAGCAATAGTAAGGTGAATGGTCTGTATCCAAACCACTTTACATTTGGCATAGTTTAATAATTATCTCTAAACCAGGCCAGTCCACTGATATACAATCACTATAGTATTAAGGCATGAGTGTATTTTAGTCAATCATGTGAATGAGGTAAACATTTGAAAGACTTAAACAGTGATGATTAGTGACTTCTAAGAGCTGAGCACTTAGGAAACTATCCTCCCATATTTAAATGTAGGTTTGGAAGAGTTAATGTCCTGATAGGAAGCTACTTGCCCAGGATATTCTAGAATCTGAATTTCCTCTTAAGTGATATTAAAGATAAAACAAAACTCATTTTTTCTGTTGACAGCACTAGTTACAACTATGGAAGAATTGGAAAGAATGAACCAAAAAATTGTATCAATCAAGACAGAGGTTAAAGAAAAAGAGAAAAGGCTTTCCAACTTTATATTAGTATTCGAAGGACCTAACTCAAAGCTATCTGGCCTCTTTAAGTGACACAAATGTGAGGCAAGATCTTCCAGAAGGCAGCTTGTTTCCACATGAAAAAATGGAATAAGCCATCAAAGAACAAAGTCTGCTGGGAAGCAGGTGATGAACCACAAATGTCCAGTGGTTACTCCTGTATATGACCCTTTGCTCAATTGTTCTGCAAAGCCGTGTGGGGTATCAAAAGCAAAGTGAGCTGAGACCCATTAGTGGCCCTTCTGCCATGTGAAAAGAAATCTGCAGGAGAAAATTGTCACATAACTCTGCAGAGCCAAACCCCATATGTTTTGCCAATAAGAATTGAAATAAATCCTCAAGAATCTGATGAAGAGGATCTCAAAATGAATGTGCTTCCAGTCATGCCTATTTCTAAGAAATCAAAATTATTTAAAGGCTTCAAACA